GCAACCATTTTTGGTTCTCTCAGAAATAGGTCTGGAATGGAGGAATCATCTAAGGGAGGGGGGATTAAAAAATCAAATAATTCATCTCTTGGTGGCCATTGGGAGCAGGGAGAGTCTGGTGCATTGTGCATTCAGGATGAAATTTTACATGTCTGGGCCAACAGAACTTGTGGTTGTCATAGAAACTGCTTGGCATTTACTAGCTCTAGAAGCTACCCTTCTATCTATGTAATATGGGAGGGGCTAGAAGAAACCTTAAAGTTCATGGAGTAAGAATGGGAGAATTCATGTCAAAAGAGGGAGAGGGTTTGCCAAAGAAATTCAGTTCTTTAGGTTCTATAAATGCCAAGCTAGTCTGGTGACTTATTATAAGCTTGTTATTTTGACAGACATTTGTTGAGAACTCCTGTGGGAAGCCCTCTCTAGGTATGAAGGATGCTGAGATAAAAGACATAAGGTCCGGATCCAAGGTGGCGGGCTAGAGGGAGGCAGCATTCTGTGTTGCTCCATGACCTGGGACTCAAGTAGTGAGAATACTGCTTCTCTGCGAGCTATATTCCTGCTTCCTCACAGGAATCATGGCCACCATGCCCATCTAGGGCTCCAGGCCTCAGCATCAGAGTAGGTCTCCCAAATACTGGCCCACACAGGGTACCCGAGCATCAACACCTGCGCAGAACTTTCTGCCACCCACCGGAGCAAATAGGTGACCACGCAGGACACCCAGCAGCTTCCCACACACAATAACACTGGCCGCCATTCCTGTGTGAACTCCCATCTACCAACATGGGGCTCCCCTGGTCGCCGCCATCTTGGGACCCTGCAGCAGCTCAGATAATCCCCTATGCGCAGTGGCCTGCCTGCACCCAAGAACTTCACACAGGCTCTGAAGGACAGCCACACACTGCATGCCACAGAGCTGTCTATGAACTCATTGTCCTACACCATTGCTTGGACCCGATAGTCCACTGCTGAAAGCAGGCGCCTCCATCTTGGGTCACATTCATTACCATCTTCAGTGGGGGGCAACTCCCAGTTTGGAACTTTGGCTGGCCAGGCACCTAGCTTCTAATTCCCCCCTCTCCCCAGCAGCCACTACCGCGGCACAGTGATATCCTGGTTACTTTCACTATTCTGAGGGTGGAGATACCAGCAAATAACAAACGACCCCATCTATTGGATGAGAAGGGAAGCAGGAAAGATACAAATTTCCAACTAAAACAATCCTATTTCTTCCTTCAAGATTTTTTTCCCCTCTCCCTCTCTATTCTCCTTCCCTCATATCCCTGACATGTGAAACAAAGTACTTTGCATGAGTTAGGATTTTGAGGACAGGGACATCTGAATAGTATATTACAGCTGTGTTGTATATATTATTTTTTTTCCTTCTTACATCATGCCAATTTCTACTACTTTAACATTTTTAATTTTTCTTAATATATATGTGTGTTTGTTTTATGAACTCAACTGTCTTCTCACTTACTTGTCTACCCAAAGTTACTTCCTCTCTCCTCTCCAGTTACTAATCTTCTTCTTTAGAGTCCTCTTTCACACTTCCTAAGACACAACTCTACATCCTCACTTCCTACCTCCTCAGCATATCATCCTACACCTCACCCCCAGTTCTTTGTCCACCATCAGAAACTGTAAACCTTTTTCCAAACCTATTGATTATATTGTAGATAATAATTCAATTCACCATTCTGTACATTGTGACCAAACTGTAAATGTCTTAATAGGAATTAATTGTTTTAAGGCTATTGTTTATATTGGGATCTGTTAACATTGTCCTTCACCTCAATGGAGAGGTATTGGAACCCTACAGGGACACTATAAGCTTATCGGGTAAAAATGGTAATGCCTTGGATTCACAGTGCTAGAAGGGAAGACACACAAGCAACATAAAAAGATAAGGGAGGAAAGTGTGGAAATCAAGATACCATATTATTAGAATTTATGGCCAGCACAGCAGAAGAAATTACAGAGAAGGAGTTCAGGATGTACATAATTAGAATGTTCTATGAATTAAAGGATGATATAAGAGAGCAAATATAGGCAGCAAAAGATCATTTTGACAAAGAGCTACATAAACAAATACAGGAAGCAAAACATTACTTTAATAGGGAGATAGAGGTTCTTAAAAAAAAAAAAACCTAACAGAAATCCTTGAAATGAAACAATAAACCAAATTAAAAGTTCTCAAAAAAATATAAGAAATTATACCCCATCTGATTCAAATGTATGATGTCAAGATCATTGTACTGTCATGAGTAACTAATTAAAACAAATAAAAAAATTTAAAAAATTCAATTGAAAGCATCAACAACAGATTAGACCATTTGGAAGACAGGACCTCAGACATATATAATCTTGAAAATAATGTAGACCACACAGTGAAAATGGTAAGAAACCACGAACAGAACATTCAAGAAATATGGGATAACATAAAAATTCTAAATTTAAGAGTTATTGGGATAGAGGAAGAAATAGAGTTCCAAACCAAAGGAATGAACAATCTATTCAATGAAATAATATCAGAAAATTTTCCAAACATGAAGAATGAATTGGAAAATCAAATCCAAGAAGACTACAGGATGCCAAATAGAAATAGAAAAAGCAATCATGAAATTCATTTGGAAAAAAAATAAGAGATCCAGAATAGTTAAAGCAATCCTTAGCAAGAAGAGCGAAGCAGGTGGCATTGCTATACCAGACTTTAAACTATACTACAGAGCAATAGTACAAAATAGAGACCAATGATACAGAATAGAGGACACAGGGACTAACCCATATAATTACAGTTATCTTATATTAGACAAAGACACCCAAACCATACATTGGAGGAAAAAATAGCCTCTTCAACAAATGGCGCTGGGAAAACTGAAAATCCATATGCAACACGATGAAATTAAACCCCTATCTCTCACCATGCACAAAACTCAACTCAAAGTGGATCAAGGACCTAGGTATTAAACCAGAGACCCTGTGTCTAACAGAAGTAAAAGTAGGCCCAAATCTCCATCATATAAGATTAGGCCCCTATTTCCTTAATAAGACTCCTATAGTGCAAGAATTAAAATCAAGAATTAATAAATGGGATGGATTCAAACTAAATAGCTTCTTCTCAGCAAAAGAAATAATCAGTGAGGTGAATAGAAAGCCTACAGAATGGGAGCAAATTTTTACCACATGCATATCAGATAGAGCACTAAACTCAAAAAGCTAAACACCAAAAAAGAAAAAAAGAAAGAAAGAATTAACCCAATCAATAAATGGGTCAAGGAACTGAACTGACACTTCTCAGAAGGTGATATATAATCAATCAACAAATATATGAATAAATGTTCAACATCTCTAGCAATTAGAGAAATGCATATCAAAACTACTCTAAGATTTCATCTCACTCCAATCAGAATGGCAGCTATTAAGAATACAAACAAAATAAGTGTTGGCAAGGATGTGGGGAAAAAGGCACACTCATACATTGCTGGTGGGACTGAAATATGGTACAACCAATGTGGAAAGCAGCATGGAGATTCCTTGGAAAACTGAGAATGGAACCACCTTTTGACCCAGCTATCCCACTTCTGGGTCTATACCCAAAGGACTTAAAAACAGCATACTACAGGGACACAGCCACATCAATGTTTATAGCAGCACAATTCATAATAGTTAAACTGTGGAACCAATGTAGATGCCCTTCAGTAGATGAATGGATAAAGAACATGTGATGTATATACACAATGGAATATTACTCAGCATTAAAAGAGAATAAAATCATGGCATTTGCAGGTAAATGGATGGCATTGGAGAATATAATGCTAAGTGAATTTAGCCAATCCCCAAAAACCAAATGCTGAATATTTTCTCTGATATAAGGTGGCTGATTCATAGTGGGGTTGGAAGGGGTAACATGGGAAGATTAGAGGAACTCTAGATAGGGCAAAGGGGAGGGAGGGAAAGAGAGGGGGCATAGGGGTAAAAAAGATGGTGTAATGAGATGGACATCATTACCCTAAGTACATGTATGAAGACACGATTGTTGTGAGTTTACTTTGTATTCAACCAGAGATATGAAAAATTGTGCTCTATATCTGTAATATGAATTATAATGCATTCTGCTGTCATATATAACAAATTAGAATAAAAAAAAATTTTTTAAAAAGAAATAAGGTTCTTACTATGAAGGTCAAGATCTAACAGTGGAGAGAGACCTAGGCCATATTTTAGCTCTGATAGGGGCACAATGGAAGCAGATGGCAAAAGATTCTAAACAGCCTGGATAGCCTGAAGAGCTAAAGTAGAAATTAGCCAGATAAAAGAGGGATGGCAGTAGGACACACCACACAAATGGAATAGCATGCATGAAGACCCAGAGGGAGAAGAGAGAAAGCTGGATGCTGATCCTAGAATTTAGAATAGTTCTGCCTGGCTGGAAAATACATGAGGTGGAGGAGCAGCCACAGATATATCTAGAAATGAAGTCAACAAGACTCAGATCACAGAGGCCTTAAAAGTCTGGAAAAGGGATCACCTCTTCATTCTTTGGGCAATGGAATGACGCTTTAATGTCTTTGCTTTAGATATTTTCTCCATAAAGACCATATTTTTCTTAAACCTGAAGCTATTTTTAAATATCTATATGTTTAATAGCTATAGATAAAGCAAATATGGCCAAATATTAACAATTGTCAATATTTTTTTTTACATATCTGGTAGGCAAGCAGATGTTCATAATGGTACTGTGTGGGGGGGTAACTTTCCTTTAGGTAGGAGTTCTTCTTAGATAAACATTTTCAGATAAAAATGATTGGGGAGTTGCTGCATTCTGGCTTTGAATTTCTTGGGCAGTATGGACAGTCAATGCACAGGGATTCTGTGCCTACTTTCTACAAAGGATATGGCCAGTTTACCTGAGTTACCTCCAACAATCTCAGAATGCCCAGCCTCTCAATCCAGTAAGTGTCCTGCTCCATGTAACATTTATCTCTCTGTTCTAGGAATAAGGACTCAAACAACAAATAAGTTGTGATTCCTGTGCTCCTGAGTCTAGGAGAGGTCATGAAGTAAATGGATCATTGGAAGTGATCATTGGAAGTACAGCGAAGTGACACAGAGAAGGTTCAAGCTGCTGTTGGAGCACGTGGGAAGCATTAGGAAGACTGTGTCAATCAAAGCAAAAACCCTTTTCCCTTCCTGTGATCTTTGCCAAAGAGATGCGGGGTGACTGGAGAAAGGACACTTGACCTTCATGTGTCATGGTAATAACTAAAAATTGAAAGTGGAGAGATGGTTCTGAAATTTCTGAGCCTAAATTAGTGGGACATAGGTTTTGAAATGAGGAACTATGCATCTGACTGATAGCCCTTCAAAAACAACAAAAACTAACAGCAAATTAGACTCTCCTTTTTGTCATTTATTTAATGATTTGTTACAGGATACAAATTGTTATGGTGATATAAGATATATCTGAGTTGAGAAGAGACTGTAAAAAATAATCTAGGAGTTTAAAACATATACAATGTTTTTTCCTTGTTTGATTTTTTAAATTCTCAGCAACTGGCTTAACATGACCTGACTATTCCAAGGTGGCCATTCACCCTTTTAGAGCAAAATAAAAAATTTTTAACTTATCACCAGCTAACAAAACAGAAGCATGGAAGTGGATGAGGGAAAACAATGACTCCATTTCATTTTCCAGCTCTGCTTGGAATTAGCTCTAGTGGCAAAGTTAAGAAATTTTTAAATGAGGGATTTTAAAAAATCAACTTTTTTTCTTATAGTTTAAGAAATCCATTTCCTTAATTTAGAAGAGAAAAAGGAGAAGTCTTAAAAGCCTTGAAAGGCCGTATAGATTCAGCTAATTCTGTAAACATTCTTTGCTCAAAGAGACACAGACGTTGTTAAGAAGATGAAAAGACTTAGCAATTCAGTAGCACAGATAGAGCATGAGGTTCATAAATTAAATAGGCAGAATACAAGCCAAATTATTAAGGAAACCCTTTGAAGAGAAGTAATAAATCGACAAATGCCATTTCCATAACTATCAAAATTTTGAAAAGAAGGAAAGTAAAACGGAAAGATGAGTTTCACAAAGTGAGAAAGAGCATCTCGTGGGGGATGTCAGTGGTGCTGGCTTAGCCTCTTAATGTATGTGCTGCTGCTGTGTCTCTACCTGGGTCGGCAACCTGCATTTGAAGGCACAGCTGTGTTGAAAAGACAGCTTCATTACTTAGGAAAGGAAACTGTCCTTGTAGCAACCCTGGTGGATCCCTCCCTATCCATTATTCTTTAACAACTAGCTCAAGGTCAACAAATGAATAGTTCACTGAGGCTAATTGTGCAATAAGTGCAAGAGGCAACATGTTGGTGGGATTCCCTGTCCCATCCTCACTGCCCGCCCAGAGACCCCCTTGCTCAGCCAGATGCTCTGGGGTCATGGGTATCCGCAGAAGACTAACTAGAATGAATAAGGACATCACATCCCAGGCTGACCTTCAGGTTTACCACAGGGCACTCTTAAGAATTTCCTTATATTACCATCTCTGTTGATCCTGCTTTCCCCCATCCTTATCCAAAACAAAGAATGGCAGTATCTGCAGGTTCTGTCACACTCAAGACCTGAAGCTATCAGTCCAGGCTGCAATAACAAAAATCTTCAATTAGAAACAAAAAGAAGCAGGGGACCTCTGGAACTGGTCCTTTTGCCCAGACCAGTACCTATCCAGTAGCATGGAGTGAGCCATGGGCACCTATGTAGTTCTATTTGTGTGGTGGGCAGGGCAACACCATAGGGTCAGATCAGTTACTACAAAGCACCGAAACTATACAAATACCCCATTGCTCAGAACCCATACTGGTCAAATGTTATGGCTGATATGGATTTCATCTGGGGCTCTGAAGTGAGAGCTAATCAGATGATCTCATCCTCTAAGCAGCCCTCTTCCTCTTCCTCCTCCTCCCCCTCCTCCTCCTCCTCTCTCTCCTTCTCCTTCTCCTTCTACTCTAGTACTGGGATTGAAGCCAGGGTCTCATGCTTATCTACCACCAAGCTACTTCTCCAGCACTAAGCCTCCATTCTTTTAATTTTTTAAAAATTGAGATTAAAATCTATATAGATCAAAATTTTACATAACATAGGATTCACCTTTTTAAGGTATATAATTTGTTAGTTAACATTTTTTTTTAAAGAGAGAGAGAGAATTTTAATATTTATTTATTTTTTTTAGTTTTCGGCAGACACAACATCTTTGTTTGTATGTGGTGCTGAGGATCGAACCCGGGCCGCACGCATGCCAGGCGAGCGCGCTACCGCTTGAGCTACATCCCCAGCCCCTGTTAGTTAATATTGACAAGGTGGTAGGTACAACCACTACCACTAATCCCAGAACATTTCCATCATCCTCAGAAGGAATTCTGAGTTAGAAATTTCTCCTTTCTCTTTCCTCCATCTCTGATCCTGTGAACCTTTTCTGTCCCTATGAATTTGCCTATTCTGGACATTTCACATAGTAGAATCCATATGTTGCCTTTTTTTGTCTGGCTGAATTCACTTTGCCTGAAGTTTCCAAGTTTCATCTATATTGTTGCAGATGTCAGTACTTCCTCCTTTTATTTGCTTAGTGGTGTTCTACTATAAGAATCTACCGCATTTTATTTTTATATTCATCAGTTGATGGACTTGAGTTGTTCCCACTCTTTGACTATTATGAATTATGATGCAATGAACATCCTTATAGAAGTTCTTAGGTAGACATACATTTTCAGTCCTCTTAGGTATATGCCTAAGAGTGGAATTGCTATGGAATCATAACTGTGATATAATATCATTTAAATTTTTAGTGAATCCTCATTCTCATTTTCTATTTCTTCCTTATGCACTTATTTGTGTAAGTTCATAGCATGAAGATGGTGATAAAATTGGGTCTGAAACCACCAAGACTAGCCTCAGGCCCCACATTGGGTTTTGTTCAGCAAGTTCTCTTGGGAATCAGCCTTGTTTTCTGAAAGCTTTCATAAGTATATTGCAGATGATCATGTTGCCCATAAATTGCCCCTCATAAAAAATAAAAAGGCTTGAAGATAAGGACTGTGTTTGTTCCCATGGAAATACAGCAGCTAAATTTAGCTTTGCACAGAGATGCCCTTGAATGTGTCTGAGGAGGCTTCTCCAGATGTTTTGTTCTACCTCCTCAGAGCAGCAGATGGATCTAGAATATTTTGCTGTCAGTTTCTACATAAAAAGAGCATGGTCACCTGCTTTTCCCTTTTTCCCTCTTTTACTGGCTGCATAGCTGCTGATTATTCAATCTCCCCCATTGTCTCTTCTCTAGACGCCCAGGGTGCAGGCACAGTTAAGGGGGTGGGGGGAACAGGTGCTGATCAGAGAGGATGGTGGGCACAATGGAGTGAACTAGATGAAGACCTTAGGATGAAGCTTGGGAAGCCTGAGAGCAGCTCAGGGTGCAAGTGAGCTTGAATGGTGCTGTCCTTGCACACTTATGGGCTACTAGAGAGCTGCTCACTCTCATGAGTGTTTTTTTCTAAGTTTTTAATTAAAATTATAATACTTAAGAAAATACAGAAAGAAACAAATAAAAATAAAAAGTTATGCAACTTGAGAGATAAATGTGGCTACATTTTTTTTTCCAGGTGCATGTTCTTTTGCTCTAAGAAAACAGGATTTTTCTGTAATGCTCTATGAAATTTGTATTCTGCTTATTTTGTTCTTAGAAATCCCCTATGCCATTTAATATCATTCAAAACCACAATTTAATGGTATGTAGCTGCAATTTTGTGTTGGCCATGTAGAGAGTCACTAAAGACTTAACTCTCTCATCCCTGACAGGGCCTGTTAATCCTCCTCCATTATAGCTTTCAGAAATAAAATTTCAATCTCTTTGTTTTTAGAGGGAAAACAAACAAAGGAAACTCATTAGGTTTCATGCAATGGATACAATATGCTGGAGGTATGTTTCCCCTGCAGGAACCACCTCGAGTGGCTTTGCTGAACAGTCCTGGACTGACTTCAGTCTCTGTTGCCTGCCATCCCTCCCACAGTCCTTTGTCTGCCCTTCTGGAAGCCAGAAGGAAGGGAACTTGAGTCTCTTCTAGAAAACTCTATTCCCTTAACTAGGTAACTGCAAGGAAAACATTAGTATTCTTATTTAAAACAGTTCTGGCTGAACTAAGAACTGCTCTTCAAAGTGGCCCCTGCCCTCACCCATTGGCTAACCTGGGGCAGAGCTCTAGTCACTCTACAGTGCCAGTGTGTTGGGACATAGCTATTAAAATGGGAAAGCTCCCAAAGTATCTTCTCTGCCTTTGAGCAGGAGTCTACCTGCCATACCAATTCTGGGACTTTCTCATGGAGAATCTGAAGAAAAGTGGAAGATTCCAACAGGTGTGTGGTGAGGAGGTCCTGAGAAATTGGAGGAAGGGTTAAAAAAAATTAAAAGGCCCAGCTCCCAAACAGAAGGGTAGTAGATAGTAAAGAAAAGAATGGAAGGGGATTTAAAAAAAAATTATGGGGCTTTAAGTTTGTGTTCCCCTTGTGATGTCTGAGGTATACAAGTAAGAGACATGAGTTATTTTGAAGTAACTCTTAGTAGTGTGGACTGTGTTTCTTCATAACATATTGCTAGGAGTAAACCAGTGAGATGTAATAATATTTGCCATACTGACAAAGAGGAGAGCAGGAAGTCCATTACCAGACAAGGTGTAGAGTCTAAAGGCAGGTGAGATTTGGGATTGGTTTCTTCAATACTGTTCGGGTGTCTGGGAGAAAGATAATAACATTGTCAGGGCCAGGGTACCCAACACTTAGAGTCCCCCATTGGTTGGATTACAGGTATGGCTGTATTTGCTGGTTAGTGAAGGGCTAAGTGATATGACCATCAGCGTCATTGTGGCTCGACCCATGGCCTCACTGTCATGACTTCGTTATCTAAGTGAGCCTTTTTTCCTAGCACAATAATAATCAGAATTGGCATTGACAACTCAGTGAATATGGCAATACTGTCAGGGATGTGATGTTGAAGCAATCTGGACCAGGCAATACAGGAAATGGTGATGGAAGTGGGATGTGATGACTTCAGAGGTGAAAAACACTTCTGATGTGTCTCCAGAAAATGAATGTATGCCCCTCTGAAGTAACCTGACATATTGGAAACACTTGAGGACAGGCCCAGTGAAACATCAAAGGTGGGCGTTTCCAATGTCAGCACAGCCGATGTTTGATGAACTCAAGAAGAAAGACAGTTGATGTAAAATTAGAATTTGTGGAAGTTACAAGTCTCTGTCTCTTGACCTATTTGATTTCTAGATACCAGAAGTAAATTCAACTGTCATAAAGTCCCCTAATGTAACTATAATTTAATTTTATTCAGCATGTCTTTCTCTCTGGTACTGGGAACCAAATAGCTCTCGAGTGCCAGTGGCTCTATTCATTGATTGTGTCAAGGGACAAATGATACATACTATGGTGGGAATTCAGAAGAGAAAAGACTGATGTGGCATGCAGAGAACTGGCCACTCAGTTTATACAGATGTGGTATTGTTTGTTTAATTATGCTCCTGTTTTCAAAGGATTTCGGTTGTTTCCAATTTGGAACATTTTTATATATAAATCTTAGCATGAGCTTTAGAGACTACAGTTTAAAGGCTGG